GGAGAAAGTGAGGGGTGTGGGGGTGGTCTTTTGAAGTAGGCTTCCATCCTCTGGTTCTGGGAGGATCACAAGGCATCAGGCCAGGACTCAGCTTAGCTGTGGTTCAAGACTTTGCCTGTGTGGCTTCTGTGGAAACATACAAGGTCACCAAGGTGACGCTGTCCCCTTGTAGTCAATACCTGATTTTCCAACTTGAAAGAGAGTCCCTGATGGCCTCTTTCATCTCTGGGTCTCTGCAGGCCAGCACTGAGCTGGCACCTGGTTGGTACTGGCAGTGCATCCTTACAGTATCTGGAAGGCCCAAGCCATAGGCCCATGTATAAGATCCACATCAGCAGCTGGATGGGGAGGCACTGGGGAGCTGACTGAAATCACGTGATGGACCCGAGGAGTTGGCTCAGCATGAGATTTAACTACTGGAGAAGGAGCCTGAGTGGGCCTCATTTGCTCACACTTGTAGATAACTTGGATGTGCATTTCAGGAAGGTAAGAGCCAGTAGGATGTTCCCTTCCTGCTGGACTGTGAAGGATTGCTGGGTTGACACTGGGTTATCTACGAGCCTTGGCAGTAAATCCCTCTTGCCCCAGGGTACCTTCCTACTCCCTAAAAATTGCATAGACATTACATATTCTTGTCTGCCCCATCAGCCTGGGCTAGCTTCCTATAGACAGGAGCCAAGGAAGCCCTGGGCCTGCTTGCCTGGCCCAAAGAAATCAGAATTGAAAGGGAAATGTCTTTGAGGAGGGTGACAAATGGTCCTGACATTGGGTGGAATCTAAGAGCTGGAAAGGAAGTGAAGGTCCTGTACCCTTGCTGGTGACTTGAACCTCCAGCTTCAGTGTCCACCCCACGGTGCTCTCTGGAGCTGTCCCCTCTCCAGGGGTGGCAGGCCCCTCTCCCCTGGATGCTGTGCCCTTCTCTGCTTTGTCTTGTTTTCACTGGCGTGGCAGAATCTCTGGTCTCCAGGGAACGCAGCCCCCACAAGACCATCCTCGAGCTTGCTGCTCCAGGAACATAGGGACTCATGTGTACTATGAGGGCTTTAAAAGCTATGAAGTGGGATCTTCTCCGATGTGGATCACAGCTGCAGGCCCCGGTGTCATGACAAGCCTTATATAGAGATCATGTTAACCTGTGCGCTTTCTAGACCTTCTTCTGAGGCAAACTACCTCACCTGCCCTGCAGAGTTCACCGTGCGGATGTGGGGACTGAAGAGGGTTCTCCCAGCTCAGTGCAGCCCCATCCCCCAGGGACAGTGGTTTTCCAAAGGCAGATAAGAAGCAAGATTAGACCACCCCCCAAAAACTGAGAATTATCAGAGAATTCTGGACAGTGGTCCCTGTTGGGATCTATGTTGGGGGCTGGGAGCAGGAGCTCATCTTGCAGGGACCCCTGCAATTGGTGAGAGTGACAACTAATCAAACACTAGACAAGGCCAAGGGAGACTGTCACATCTGGGGTCATAGTCGTGATTCCTTCTAGACTTCAGCCAGAGGCAGAGCCCCCAGCCCTCTAGCCCCTCACAGCTCTGCCTGGGAAGAAGTGGGGGTGATCATTTCTCTCCTCAACTCCAGGACCACAAATCTCCTTTTGGGGAAGCAAAAAAGGCTCCTTACCTGTGCATGAGGTCAAATGGAACCTGGGTGTCAGCTATTTGAAATGATGACATTTGTTTTTGTGGTCCTTGTATGTCCTCTGTGCCCAAGACATCCATCCATCCATCCCTCCCTTGGCCCCCACATCTCCTGTTACTGCAGAGTCTTCCTCCTTCCCTGGATGCGTGTCTCTAATATTTACAGCGGGGCCCACAGATAAACATTAGCCACAAATACGAGACAGTGAGAAACTCACCTCAAAACATAGTCCCGAGACAGTGGTTACCCCTGGGGGTCTGGATAGAAGTAAAGCTACCCTTCTCTGGGGACCCTCTTTGCTCAGGCCTCTCAAGTAAAGGTGGACTCACAGGAGGAGATGCTCTTACCCTGAGACCACAAAACCTTAGACTATGGACCCATCAGAGAATTCTGGACCATGACTCTAGGTGGGATTGGTGCTGGGGCGATAGGAAGATTCGTCATGGGGTAGAGGGGCTCGTCCGGCCAGGATTTACCTGCTCCTGCCCACTGTGTCTGCCTTTTAGACTGTTTCTCTGCCGAGGCAGAGCCACTGAGGCCAGAGGGCAGCTGCTGGCGGATGCAATGGGGCTGTAGCAGACCTGGGAATCTCTGTGAGCTTCCAAAACACCTCAGTCTTTGACCTGCCAGGAGTAATTCCAGATCTAGGGTGACCCCCCAAACTGGGGGCAGGCAGTCAGGGAAGAGCAGGTTGCTGGGGAAAACTTGCCTTCCTTTCCTTTACCCTGATTGGGCAGGAAAACCTGAGATGCAGACTTGACCACCTCCTGGGCTGTACGTTCTTGGGGAGAACGGGGCTTTTGCCTGTTTGGATCATTTATAGCCCACACCCTGACCCCCAAATGCTTTAAGCTTCCCCGGGACTTAGCCAGCCCACCCCTGAGTTTGCTGTGGATTTAGGGCTGGAGGGACAAGCATACCCCACCTTCCCCCGACTGCCCGCATGAGAAGAGCCCTTCAGGGAGGTACACATGGGGTTCTATAACTCTGCAGCCCTGCTTGTTTAGGTTTTAAGGCTACTTCCTGATGCACGTTTTAACGGCCTAGCCTGAGATTCATCTTTTCTGGTTTGAGCAAGAGGCTTCTTTCTTCAGATCAAATTAGAATCCCAGTAAGAGTAGACTCCTTGGTGGGGATGGGGAAAGTGAATGATCAGGCAGCAGGCTAGAGGGGGCGGGGGTGGTGAGCTGGAAATACAGCACAGGTTGGTGGGAGCATGGGCTTCCAGGGCCATGGAAATCTCCAGTTCGGTTTGTAGTAAGTTCTTAAACCTGTTCAAATAAATTGATTAGCAATTGATCTTATTGATCAATTGATTAGTTGATCTTCACTCAACACTCTAAACCACTAACATCTGTTCCCAATAAATAATTCACATAGTAGACATTAATTAGAAGGCTTGTGAAGAGGGGGTGGCAGCTTTAAAAGCACACTTGAGGTATCTTTTTGCCCAGAAATGCATGCTAAAGCCCACACCCCGACGTGGAGGACGAAGTGCTGTGACGGCACTGCCTCCCTTCTCCTTCCCTCAGTCACAAGGAGTGGGCACCCCCGCCCCCAGCAGGTAGGCAGCTTGACTCTGCCTCCTTGACACTGCCTTCGTACCTATAGCACAGAAAAGCCCCTGGGGATAGCTGCCCCAGCACAGCTGGTGGCTGCCCACAGCCACGATAAGGGTGTCTGTGAAGTCCTAGAACTGTAAGTTGTGGAAGGCAGCCCCTGGCCCCACCCACCCCCTCCCACAAGTGCCTGACCCTGCCAGTGAGCACACGACCCTTTGCTCAGGCATTCACTGGGTCCTGGAAAATATCATGTCCCGAATGCAGCCTGGAGGCCCAAGTCCTCCTTACCTGGGCCCTCAGAGAGACACACACACACCTTTGATAATGGGCAGAAGTCAGGGGTCAGCAATCGGAAGATCTGAGACCAACCCCCCCAAAACCCCTCTCTTTCCACTTGGTTTTCCTGGTGTTCTAAGTCCCTTGGCTCCTTTTCTTAGCAGTGTCCTTTGGAGAAACTTTCTTAATAGTTTGTCAACAATTTCTTCTGTAGATCATCATTGCTTTCAACTTTGGAAGGAGCAGGGCTTCTGGGGAGCCCATCAGAGGCCTTGTATTTACATTCCTGGGCAGAGGTGGGTGGCTGACTTCTCTGGGCCGGGCAGCCCAGTTCCTGTTTCCGTGGAGTAGGAGGGGGCATTGCTCCCACCAGTCCTGGTCAGTGTGTGGGAGGAAGCAAGTCCATCCTACCTTCTCTGAGTAGTGTACATCACTGAGAACAGCTGGGGGTGGACAAGATGCCCAGGAAAAGTACTTCCACCCTTTGATGTCTACTTTCCATCAAATATTGGAAGTGTTTCTTGAAGTCTGGACTCCAGGAGCTGCTGGAGGTGTCCTGGGCCCTGCAGCCATCCGCAGGTGCTGCCATGGCGGGAGAAGAGTATTTGCAAGGTTCTGTGGGTGAAGTGGGGTCAGTGAGGGCTTGTTGCTAGCACTTCAGCCCATTTTGACCCAGGTAGCAGCAACCCCAGGCTGGGGGCCCAAAGTGCGGGTGGGAGAACTCAGGTGAGAGCCGAGTGGCTGCCCAGGTGAAAGGACTCCAGAAATCACCCGCACATCTTGTTGCTCTGTGAACCAACTGAGTGTTTAATTCCTGAAAGCTTCAGTCTCCTCAAGGGCTCTCAGCTCCATTTTTGTCCCTAAACTTCTTAGTACTGTTATTGCAGGAAGCATTTGCCTTCTCATTGGAGGTGTTTGAAATGGAATGGAACCGGCTCTTATTTCCACACTTTCAGAACCAAAATCCAGAAAGGAGGGTTGTCTCCCAGACAGTTGCATCCCTCTTGGGGATTCCCCTCTTTACTCCCAGGTCAAAGTTAGAGACCCAGCTCTCAGCAGCTGCCTTCGACTCTGAAGGCACCTGTTAGTGGTTGGTAATCAGTGTGGACAGCTTGAGGGTGAACTCAAGTGATGTGTCACGGGAGGCTGACTAATGCATGCAGGGCTGCTGTGGATTAGGGGGGCCTGTTTCTTAAAGAACCTTTCTGTCCTCACACCATGGGCCTGAGAGGGCCGCAGACAAGGGGATGAGATGGCCAGGGAGGTGGCCTTAGCTGGGCCTTGGCATTTCTTGTGCTAGTCGAGGGGGGCTGAGGCATCAAATACAGGATGGCCCAGGTGCTGTGAAAGGGAGACCGGCCACCTGATGTATTTCAAAATTCAGTGGCAGTGTGGGGGAGGAGACAAGGAAGGTGTCTCTTGGCCTCTTGGGGTAGATAATGGGTGGTTCTTGGGCAAAAAGGCCAAGAGGCCAAGAGGTGGCTGGGGCGGGGGGCTCCAGACCCATGCCCCTATTCTCTTGTTTAGGATGGTGCCCCTGGAAGACCCTGAGTGGCCTGTGGTCAGACCACCATTTGGAGAGATTTAAGTTAGATGGATAATGGGACCGACCCATGGCCAAGTTAAGTGACTTTCTTTACTCTGCAGGGACCAGCATTTCTTAGCCTCTACTGAGAGGTGCTCAGATTCCAAGAGCAGAATATATACCAGTGAATGAAAAATATATACAGGGAGAGAGCATTGCCTGGCACAGATCCCTAGAGATGAGAAGAGCATGTTCTGGTGGCCAGAGGTGGGCTTGGCAGAACAGAAGAGTAGATTGATTGATCAAAAGCCAGCCCAGCATGCCCACCCTCACTGTGGCCCAGATGCTAACTCTCTGTCCCCAGTGACTTGTGGGAGGATTTGGAGCGTCCGGTCAAGGGGCGGGTGTCATCTGCAAAGGCAGAGTATAGGGCTGGAACCACGGTAACCGCTGAAAGGCAGGACGAAGTTCCTGCTTCCTGCTGCGCCCCCATCAGTGCCTTCTGAATCCAAGGTCCTGTGGTCTGAGAGGGCAAGCAGGGGAAACAAGTGTTTTTCTGTTATTTCCTGTGGCTAGAAAGGCAGGCAAGGGTCAAGAGCAGTAATCTCGCAAAACTCACATCTGATTTAGCCCACTGCCTGCCTCTCTACCCACAAGCCTTCCCGTGCCCTCAGGTAAATATCAGACTCTGTCCTCTCTCCTTGCGTTCCATGGAGTGGGTCTTACTCCCCTCTGGCCAGGCCTTCTGTTCCAGTATGGAGAGCTCGTCCCCCACCTGCCTCATCTGCTCAAAGCCTGCCCATCATTCAGATCTCAGTTCCAGTGTCCTCCCTGACGCCCATCTTCCCAGGCCCCTTGGACCTGGCAGCTGTCAGGGATATCTCCACAAGCCACTGCCTCATGGCATTTAGCACACTTTGAAATTACACACTTATTTGTGTGATTATCTGCTTAATGTCTCTCTCTGCTCCAAGACTGGTCTTGCCCGGTTGGGTTTACCATGGCCCCCTGCCTCTTTTGCCATGCCCTGGCACTTAATAGATACTCAATAAATATTTGTAGAATGCGTAAATGGAAGGGGCCGTCTGGGCTCTCCTCTTCCTCACACTCACCTGTGCAACCCTCGTTCATTGGGCCGCTCACTTGAATGGCTTGGCTGTGCAGTTCCTGGGGGCACCTGGAAAGAAGTGGGTCTGGAGGCTGCAGGGAGGGGTTTTAAAAAGACCCATCTAAGGCCCATTAGCATAAAGATTATATAAGAAGCCACTCAGAAAACACAGGGAAAAGTCAGGAAACAACTTTCAAGAGGTTGGCAGAGGAGGATGGCTCAGTGTGAAGTGGTAGAGGAGGCTTGAGAAGGAGGTAAGAAGTAATCCAACCACAGACTTTGAAGGTGGAAGTGGGGGGTGGGGCCTTTGCTGCAAAAGCCAGCCCCCCAACTCCACCCGGTGTGCTGCAGGTGGGTGGGCAGGGAAGCTGGGACACAACCAGTTTGCTGGGCCGTTTGAAGCATAAAAAGCGGTTCCCCTGTGGGGACTCTCTCCAACAGAAATGCTTGAATAAGTTTGTGAGGATCTACGTGCAGGGACAGCTGCTGCAATGTTAAAAGCGTCGTTCAATCTACAGCCCCTCCATAGGATAAGACACAAGGCAGCTTCACCGAGAGGGAGGGCGGCGCGTCGCTGACGAGGAAACCGCAGTCCATTCATTGAATTTGCTCTGCTCCTTCGGTGTGTGCACCTGGACCTCATTTCTGTTTTTACAACAAACTTCCATTTGTGTACATGAAACTACACGTGTTTGTGCTTGGAAAAAAGTCTGGAAGGACCCACACGTGCTCGAGCACTTTCCTCTGGAGAATGGGATTCAGGGTGGGCTCAGAGGGGAGTCACACTATTTGACTCTCTGGGGTATGATTTGAATACATATGTATTCTGTGATTTAAAAGGAAGAGGAAAGGTTGTAGGATATGGAAGGATGAGGGAATGTTGCACTATGGGAGCTCAGATTCATTCGCCTCTAGGGAGCAAAGGCCAATGGCCTGAGTGGAGGAGACAGGGTGGGGGTGGGCGGGCAAGACATCTACGGACGGCAAAGATCTTTCCAGAAGTTTTCTGGAGAGTGGCTTTTTTGAAAGAGGATGCTAGCTAAGAGGCATGGTGGAGGTAAGGTCTTAGAGCTAATTGGAGGGAGGTGGCAAGTTGGTGGGAAGAAGGGAGGGAGGTAAGATCAGAAATAATTTCTTGGGACACTGGGGTGAGGGAGACTCGGCTGGAGGTGAACCCAAGAGCCCAAGCGGAGGAATTGTCCTAAAAGGGTGAGAAGGGTTCTGGGGGTGAGGGAGGGGATTGGGGTGGATAACCTGAGGTGGGAGGGCCAGGGAAGGGAGTTCAGAGTTGATGACCCCGGTTCTTATCAGGGAACTGAGTGGCTATGTCATGGAAAGGGACACGGCTGGGGCTGCGGACAATGTTCTAAGGGCAAAGGTCTGGGAACAAGTGTTCCTGAATGGACTGCTCCCTGGCGGTGGAGGGGGGCCCAGCTGCCTGGTGGATTACACCTCTGTGATGGGAAAACCTGGCAGGCAGTTCTGTGTTTTTCTCTCATTGGAACCCAAGTGCAAGACCAGAGAAAATGAAATTTCACATGGTTCCCAGGCTAGGCACCGGCCCAGAGGGAAGGGAAGGGGAGGGCTTTCGATGGACTGACCACAAGGCAGAGAAACAACAAGAACAGAACTGGAGACCTGGGACCTGGGAAGGGCAGCTGTAGAGATGAGCCCTGGAGAGAAGGGCTTCTACAGCTGGGCTTAGAAGGGCCTCTCTACAACCTGGGATGGCCCCTTAAGTGATGTCTGGGCTCATGGTGTGGCTGTGGGGATGGGTTGCCCAAGTGGAAAAGAGTGAGGACCAAGTCCCTCAGAAGCTGTTAAAATCATCACGGCGGGGGCAGTATGAAAGCGAAAGTTGCTCAGCTGTGTCCAACTGTTTGCCACCCCATGGGCTTTATATATAGTCTATAATATAGGTCAGAACCCTGGAGTGGATAGCTGTTCCCTTCTCCAGGGAATCTTCCCAACCCAGAGGTTGAACCCAGGTCTCCCGCTTTGCAGGCAGATTCTTTACCAGCTGAGCCACCAGGGAACCCAAGAATACTGGAGTGGGTAGCCTGTCCCTTCTCCAGCGGATCTTTCCAACCTAGGAATCGAACTGGGGTCTCCTGCACTGCAGATGGATTCTTTACCAACTGAGCTGCCGGTGGCGGGGTCGGGGGGGGTGGGGTGGGTGGTATAGGGGCAAAGATAAAACCTGAGGCCAGAGCTTCAATTCATTCATTCAACAATATTTACTGAGCACCTACTATGTGCCAGGCACCCTTTCAAGCCTCGAGTGGGGTGGGGTGTGGTGGACTCGGGAGGCCCTGGGACTGCTGATAGATGAAGATGGGAGGAAGAGGGTCAGGTGGTGATGCGGTGGAATGTGGTGGGAGGGGGTGGGTTTTCCAAGAGGAAGAGGAAGCATCACCAAGGAAGGACTTAGAATGGCCAGGAAGATGGGGCAGGAGCCAGTGGCGGCGGAGCACTGGCGGACTTGGGATGGATGGGAAGAAGAGCAGCCTTGGTCTTCTAGAAGAGTTGGACGAGGAGCACTGTCAGGGACTGGCAGGCTCCAGATGAGGGGTGGTGGGAGCCTGTGTGTTTCATGGCTTCCTCGTTGCACACCGCCCCCACACAACCCCATCGCAGCCACCTTTCCCCACGCCTCGGGCCTCACAGAGGGCATCTGGGGGCTGACCTGTGGGGAGAGGCAAAATCTTCCTCCACACCCAGGACAGTGACACTCTACCCTGTGACTTCAGCTCTGGACTCTGGCCCTTAGCCATTGTGTGGAAGTGAAGAGCCATGGAGGGACAACCACGATGCTCCTGAGAGAAGCAGGTGGGGGACACTCACACGAGCGGGGTGACACCAGGCATATCTGGTTCAGCCATGGCTTGAGGGTTTCCAAAGCTCCCTCTGATGGCTGCTTCCTGTCCTTTGGGCCATCTTGAAGACACAGGGGGCAGGGGGCTGGGAGAAAGAGGTCTGGGGGCAGCGGTGGGGCCAGGGGTGCAGAAAGGCCAGGAGGGAGGTGGGTGGTGATGACCTGGGACTGCAGGGATCTCGAGAGTGCCTTTCCTTCCACCCAAACACCCTGGCGCACTCCCTCTGTCACCTTCCAGGTCGAGCTCCACTTTCTAGGGTCACCTGCTGTCACTCTGCCCCACCCCCGACACTACTGACCTTATCATCTGACTTGAACATCCTGGTCTTCATCCCCCCTCCTGGGGAGTGGGTGTAGAGCTCCCCCCAGGCACTGGTGACCTGCCCGTCTGCCCGACACTATCAAGTTGGGCTTTTTAAGGCTCCAGATGAAGATTCCTGGCAAGATGACAGGGACTTCGGCTTCCCCTGCAGGCTAGGAAGGCTCTGCTCTTGGAGGAGGGCCACTCCAGAAGAGCTGGAGTTGCCAGCTTAAGGTGGGAGGGAAGTTGAACTCCAGGTGGATGGAAGTCTTTTTCCTCCTTTTGCCCTCCAAGTCTTTGGGATGCCAGAGAGGTCTGGGGCCTCATTTGCTCACCAGCAGGTGGTCATGTTAGGGGAAGCACACTGATTGAAACCACCCACCCTGGCCAGGCACCGTAGTAACCATTTGCATGAGTTATTTTATGACAGGAGAGCCTGATAAGGAATATGGAACTAATAAGCCACCACCAGCTGGAAGAGTTCAGGAAAGGTCGAGAGGAGACCCTGCCTGTCCGTCCACTTCCCAGAATCCCTCTCACTAGCATCCATCTTGGCTGAGCGATGCGTGCGCCACCAGGAAAGACTCTGAATTAGAATGATTGGCCAAAGACCACACTTAAACTAATCCCATCACCATAAAGCTCAAGACTGCGAGCCACGCGGCAGAGCAGTTCTCCTGGGTTCCCTTACCTACTGCTCTCCACCCGGGTGCCCTTCCCAATAAAATCTCTTGCTTTGTCAGCACATGTGTCTCCTCAGACAATTCATTTCCGAGTGT